CAGCGGGAATCATAATCAAACCAACTCAATTCAACGATCAATCCAATAAACCATTAAATCCAATAATCAACGAGAAAACTGTCATTTAAATACTAAACTATCCGGTTTGAACCAAAACAAATACCAACTTATTAATGAGTCATAAAAATCACAACTTGTGTTGACTATGCCAAATTAGGTATACAATTAGTCAACTTTAACGGCTTTTAAAAAAACGTTAACCCCGTTTATTGTAACCATTAAGTCTCATAACGATGACGTTTTGATATTATGAAAAATGGTCATTTAAATACCAAATTTTTTTATTTTGCACCAAAACAAATACCAACTTTTTAATTAGTCATAAAATACACACAATTATGTTGACTTGACCAAATTAGGTATAATATTCGTCAACAATAGATTGGAACCCAGATCCGGAGACGAGGCCCTCCAAGGTTTTAGCATGAGTCCAACAACTTGTTAAGGCACGAGATCCCTGAAGGCCGTAGTCTGAGTCTGGAAATCTAGGAGGTGACGAGATTGCGATAACCTAACTCTGGAGACCTGACGAGTTAGTATGAGAACTCTCATGGAGACCTATGGCCTGAGTCAACCGACTTGTCCCCTCTGAGACTACTGAGAAGTTCTCATCATTTTGTTCAGTTTGTAATATGTTTTTTAGTCTATTGATACATTTATAGTGATCGTTTTCAAAAAGTCTAGAGTTCAGAACTTAAAATTGTTTTGGAAGTTTCTTTTGTTTTCGAAAAAAACATTTCTTTTCCTAAAAAGAATGTAAAATTTATTTAACTAAAAAAAACTTGTGTACACTAAGAGCAACATGTTTGTTTAAACTTTAGTAGAGCATTAAAAATAAATTCAAAATCAGAAACAAAACAGAGGATCAATTATATGGTGGATGTTCCAAACCAAACTACAAGGCCCATAGCGGTTGTTCGTTCATGTCACTAAAAGAACTAATGCGGTTCCGCATAGCTTTGTCGATCATTGTTGACTGATCACCATATCTTTTACCATTACATTCTCTCCATATAAGATAATATAGAGGCTTAGAAAACATATTTGATGAGGAAGCTCTCGATGAAAAGTTGAAAAGTGTCCGAAAGACTATGAATGAGCGATTCCCAATCAGTTGCAAAGGAGTCACCGAGTAGGCCTTGAGCGAGAGAAGACCAGATTGAGGTTTAGTAGGCACATAAGACGCAACATGTTTGTTTTGACATATTTCTTTGTTCGTGAATGCCATAGATGTTCCTGTCAAACACTGTATCTAAACGACAAAAGTTGTACGAGATGAAAATGAACATGTGCCCAAACCCAGAACCGCACAAGTATCAACTATATTCCCCCAACCCAGAACTAGGGATGTCA